TTAACTACTTTTCGATAAGCTTGAACACTTTGCTGTAAATTCTATAGATTTTTTTTTTTTTTTTTTTTTTTTTTTTTTTTCCCATCTGTTTTCATGCGCGAGAAAGATACGGAACTGGATCACGAACCGAAAAGTTTTCGAAAAACCAAGTTTATTCAGATAAACTTGTTAAAAGACAACTTGAGACAAAATAGAAAAATAAAGCAAAATGCAATGCAAAATATAAAATGATGAATTTCCTTGCCAGAAATTGGCATTTCTAGATGTTTTTGAATATTTAGTAGCTTTTTAAAGTGAAAGACAAGGTCTTCATACAATAACATCTTTCAACACATGACACAAATTCCAGATCATTTATATTATGATACTAGCTCGAAATACTGAACAGTTGAATATTTAGTACAATTTTATATTTCATTCAATATTTAAATAAATTATCAATAGAAAGATATAAAATTATTGAATAAAAGTCTTCTTTTGTTTGCCGACGGGACCCTGCTATAGGAGGCGAACAAAGCTGTATTTTTCTTGAACGAAAAGCATACGATAGTTGGTTAAAAACAATTGTTAAAGATTTACAAAGCTAAACAAAGGACGAATATTTGTTGTAATATTTGCTCTCCGGATTATATTTCATCCAGCATCAAAATCAATTAAGCTTATCTATAGAAATGTTAAAAGTTTTGAGAGAAATTATTTGATTTGTCGATAAAAATTCTTGTCAAAATCAGTATTAAATAACATATTATTGTTATTTTAAAAAAATAAAAATACACACACCTGACCTCTTGCAAAACACTTGACTACGTTTGACTATATGAAAGTTTTTTTTGGTTAATTGTTGTTTGTCTATAATTTGTCCTAAAACTATTTTTTTTGTGCATTTGAGAGCCGGATTTACGAGTAGTTTTTCTTTGACATCAAGCGGGATCCCTGTGTTGTGTACACGGACGGACGGACGGACGTAAGGACGGAGGTGACGTCAGCCAAGCCATGAAAAATCAGCTCGATGGTTTATCTTTTTTTCTTAAGTAAGGTGCTCGCTCACGCGGGCCGAAGGGAGCTCCGCTAAAATGCACCACCTCAATAATAATCTCAATAATAATAGTTCTAGGCCCAGTCACTCAATCCACAACCAAAACACTATAAAACTTTCCCGATTTTGTTTCAGGTACAACGACTCCACGTCGAGGTTTATTGATCTATTTATTTAATTACTTCCACCCTTAAAAATATACAAAATTTAAAAATGAAATATATTTAAAATAAAGAAAGATTCAATAAGAAAATAATGGTGGGGGGTCACACAATAGAAGCGAGGCTCCAATTTAAGTGTGCCCTTTGTTCTTCAAAAAACGCTGTACCGTTAAATTAATTATAATTGCATAAATACATCAATTGTAACTTCGACTTGGAAACATTGCTTCATGGTCACTCACTTAGGCGAATTGGGGAAGGCATAATTCCAAAGCCATAATTTATTAGCAGCCGTGATAATAAATTTTTCGCCTATCGTAATAGTAATCCAAAGTGGAAGAATGAATTTTTGGGGGGATTTTCAATACACCATTTTCGAGTTCTAAATAGGCGACTTGCACTAAGAGGTCACGTGATCGAATCGGCCATTGTGGCTGGCATCTTACAGGAATTTAGCCATGCGAGAATGTAAAAAAAGATGGCGGATTCGTGTAGTGTTTTTGGTGATAAAAGGTAGGTTATAGCGCACTAAATAACAAAAAAAATCCCCTTTTCTTGCAAGAAATATATTCTTAGTAGATATCTTAAGTAGATTTTTGCTATTAACTCGCCAAAAAGAAAAAAGTATGGTATTTTTTTAGCTACGATGTGAAGACCTACGAAGTGTTTAGTCTCGTTTTTCCGAAAAAAATGCATTTTTCTTTCAAGAAATGTAATTTTGATAGATGCCTTAAGGAAATTGTTTCTAATCATTCACCAGATAGAGGAAAAAATATGGTATGTTTTGAGGTTTGATTTAACGCGGCGTGGTTTCCTACGCCGCTCTCGTGTTCTCTCGACATCCCGCGTGTTTTAATCAGAGTATCAAACACGGAAAACTGTTTTTGATTTGATTTATAAAATAACAAAAAACGCGCGAAAAGATCGAAAAAAAAGCAAAGCCTAAATAAATTCTCCCTACGTGCCGTCATATTCAAACTGACCAATGAGCGCGCGCGATAGATTATAATTAAAATCTGACAGTTGCAATACTCGCGCGCACTAAAATGAAGACAGCGTGTTTTGACACTCTCATCAAACATGCTTTTCGACCAATCATAGCACGCATAGTATTATCATATAATATAAAATAGCTGTTATGAAAGTCGCGTTCTGATTGGTTTGGAGCGCGTGCTTCATAAGAGCACATTGCATGCTCGCGCACTTTCCGTTGCGTCATTCCTATCTATTATTGTAATTTGTATTTTATAAAAGAAATAAAAAATTTGCTTGCTGTGCTTTGCTGTATGCAGTCCTAAAGCACTTGGGGATTGGCAGAACACTCGAGAAGTGTCCAGAAGCACTCCGCTACGCGTCGCGCTTCTCCTAAGACTTCTCTCGTGTTCTGCCAACCCCCGCGTGCTTTATGAAAGCAGACAGCACGCGCGCGCGTTTTCTATTTCTCCAATATATAATAAGGTTTGATAAAAAGGGGGTTTTCTGTTGCTTTTCTTTTTTTTTCTCTCTCTCTCTCTCTTATTTTTTTCTTTTTTCATATTTGAAGGCGTTCTAAATTAAATCCAAACTTTACTCTCTTTTTGTTGTTGTTATTTTTGGTTGTTTCTTAATTAACAACATCTTCTGATAAGCCTTTGTGTAGCTTTTCCCTGGTTACTACCGAAAGCCGCAATGTATCGTGGGACAGTTCAAAGTGGAGAATTAGCATATTTTTAAAATTATTTTGACCCAGTCAATTCGCGTTACCAGCGGTGGTTGACGCTTTCTAAATATTTTTCTTATAAACTTTCGATTACTCTCTTACCTTGAAGAGCGGTGTTACCTATTGAATAACAACAAGAATGTCATTAAAATTACTGTTAACATCTAATGTAAAAAAAAAAAAAAAAACACAGTGCGATGTAATATTTAAAGTGCCTATCACCCTTCTGACAATATTCACAGTATTGATTCTACATGGGGTAAGATGTTGAATAACCCGAAAAAATTACGTAGTTTGAGTGCGGCTTCTTGAAGTTATGAAGGTTTTTCCATGCCATATGCTAATGCTGTGACGTATGAGGAGTAATCATTTAATATACAAAACACTACTGGTACAGATAAATTCAATTTGAAATACGTCATCGTTTTGCCCATTGCTCTTATAGAAATGATTGCAAGTTAGTTTTCCCATAGAAGCCGGTGTTTCGAATTACGAGGAACAACAAATGACCATAAATGCCTCCTCATACGTCACAGCATTAGCATATGACATGGAAAAACCTTCATAACTTCAAGAAGCCGCACTCAAACTATGAAATTTTTTCGGGTTATTCAACATCTTACCCCATGTAAAATCAATATTGAGAATATTGTCAGAAGGGTGATAGGCACTTTAAGACTAGTGTTTTATATTTTAGAATGAAGTAAATGTCAAAAACCACTAAGAACCGAGGAAAATAAATATCATTTCTACAGGAATAAATGAATGGATGCATGGATGAATAGATACTAATAATTACATTGCTTGAGGTAAAAGACTGAATTTAAGATAAATACAAAATCATTACTTGTGATATGGAAGGCCTACCTGTCCGCGTAAGAAATGGAGCAATCTAAGTGATTGGATTGCAGCACAAATAAAAACTAATCTCTTATATTCCTCGTTGGAGTTTACCACTGGTCAATATTCTATATATACAGCGATATGCCGAAATTCTGATCCAACCAAGTATATAGTATATAACTATATCGGGTGCATTATGGGTAATAGACCCGCGGGATTCAAAGCTAAGTACCAAAGCGTTGGCTGGCCTACTGAGTGTTGTTTATGACCAGCGCTAAAGTCAAGAGGCGGGGATGTGTTCACTTTTTAATACCTCTACACTATTAGAAAAAAAAAAGTCATATTGTAGAAGGTTTTATTAATGTAAAGTGAAACATTGGAAGTTTTGCAATTGGTTGAGTTTAAAATCAGTTCTGAAATCCCTCTTCTTGGAAGTTTCGGTTGAGCTGAACTCAATTCTGAACTCGTTCTTCGCTTATTTATATGTACCCTTCTAAAACAATCAATCACTCCGAGGACAGCAAAA